TAGGGAAAGTGAGTAGATGTCCCACTTAAAAAACTGATGCATAAAAAATTTTTTTAAAAACAAAAATTCTTTGTTTTGGTTTTAGTTTTGAATATAGGGAGCAATTACATATAATCATTAGTCTGTAAAACATCTGAATTGAAGTGCTATACATATGTAAAATATATTGTCAGCCTTAGGACATTTAAGCTAAAAGGTTAACAGTATTACTTATTTTGAAATACATAAAAGACTTAAAAATTTGTTAGAAAAATTACGAGCCATACTCTGATGAATTGAAAGCAAATAATAGAATTGGTAAGAGTGTATATGTGAGAGTTTTTAGATAGGGAGAAACTTGACACAAGAGAAAGTCTTCGTTTTTGAGGAAGACATTTTTCTTAAAGAGGATGGTACTGAAAACTTTAGGCCAACTACCATATATACGTGATTTTTTTTCACATTTAAAAGTATTAGAAATGGGCTTCTCTGGTGGCACAGTGGTTGGGAATCTGCCTGCCAATGCAGGGGACACGGTTTGAGCCCTGGTCTGGGAATATCCCACGTGCCACGGATCAGTTGAACCCATGTGCCGCAACTACTGAGCCTGTGCTTTAGAGCTCTCGAGCCACAACCACTGAAGCCTGTGTTCCTAGAGTCCATGCTCCACAACAAGAGAAGCCACTGCAATGAGAAGCCTGCACACCTCAACAAAGAGTAGCCCCCACTCACTGCAACCGGAGAAAAGCCCATGCGCAGCAGCGAAGACAAAACGCAGCCAAAAATAAATAAATTAATAAAATAAAATAAATTTTAAAAATATATGAGGAAGAGCTACACTTATTTGGAATATATAATTTTAATTAGTTATAGTAAAGGGTTGTATTCTGGGGGGAAATGACTGAAGCATTACTTTTTGAGATTTAATGTAAACATCTGACAGCTACTTAGCCTAGCTGTAGTGCTTTAAATGCTAGGTAAACAATAAGTGTGACCAAAACTATTTTGATACTGGTCTGATACACAGATTTATCAGGAAAACCACTTTTTAAAATTGTATTTATTTATTTTTGGCTGCATTGCGTCTTCGTTGCTACGCGCGGGCATTCTCTAGTTGCTGTGAGCGGGGGCTACTCTTCCTTGTGGTGCACGGGCTTCTCATTGCGGTGGCCTCTCTTGTTGCGGAGCATGGGCTCTAGGCACGTGGGCTTCAGTAGTTGTGGCACATGG